ATATATATATATATATATATATATATATATATATATATATATATATGAGTCGAAGTCCACAAACTAATGTTACAAACTATAACTGAATGTATTTTGAAAATTATTGTGAAGAATGGCTTCACTTTGACAAACACATTATTCTCTGTGATGTATTAAAACAGTTGTCTTCCCTGCCTTCCAAGCTTTTCTGAAAGAGCCTTAAAATCTGATTTAATTAATCAAATAGTTAAATGTGTATTTTTAATAATAGTTTATTTATAATATTTATATCCTGCCTTCAATTTGGGTACTTAAGGCATCATATTATACTTGTGCCTCCTATGTTCTCCACAGCAACAATCCTGAGGCAGATTAAGCTGAGAGAGATAAACTTGCCAAAAGTAACCCAATGTGTTTATATGGTGGAGGTTGAAAACTAGAATCTGGGTTTCCTGCTCTTCTATGGAGAGACACTGTCTTTCCAAATAATTGTTAAGATTTTAAAGAGATGAAACATTTGCCTTGTACATAGAACATTTCCCAGGGTGGATATATAAACATCCAGCTTCATTTGAAATGAAGCTTCATTTCAAGTAACTGTACATAGATGCCATGATCAAAATAGGGTCTTTGATAAACAGATTAATTTCTAGACTCAGCAGCTACAATTATAGCATCTTACTAGCTCCTCATGCTCTGGTTAGAGATCAGTCAACTATCCATATTTTTCCAAATAATGTAATATTACTTTATGAACTTCAACACAACCATATACATCTACCATATACATAATTATTTTTAAAAAGGGGAAGAGATTACAGGTAGTCCTCTTTACAACAGTTCATTTAGTGAGCATTCCAAGTTACAACAGCATTGAAAAAAAGTGACTTAGGAGTATTTTTGACACGACCATACGCAGCATCCCCATGGTCACGTGATCAAAATTCGGATGTTTGGCAATTGACTCATATTTATGATAGCTGCAGTGTCTTAGAGTCATGCAATCACATTTTGTAACCTGACAAACAAAGTGAATGGGGACAGTAGATTCACTTAACAACCATGTTACTAATTTAACTTTAATGATTCACTTAACAACTATGACAAGGTCACAAAATGGGGCAAAATTCACTTAACAAATGCTTCACTTAGCAACAAAAATTTTGGGCTCAATTGTGGTTCTAAGTCAAGGACTACCTGTACTTCTCTGAGATCTCTGAAACAGCAAACTTTACATTTATTGCATATTTGGTAAGGTTAATTGCTTCACAGAGTTCTCAATGTACCTGGAGAATTAGTATTTTTAGATTCCTATGATTAAGTATTCTTTAAGGGTTGAATCATATATATTTAGTAGTGACTTCATAAAATATTTTTGGCAACTTGATACTTTGATATCTTATTTCTAAATGCAAGAAGGATAAATAACTTATTATTTGGCAGAACTGTAAACTAAAGAACTGAATATTAATAAAGCAATGGGTATGTATGTAGGAATATTGAGTATGTTCCTTGTGATCTTAAAATGAGACTAAATCTGCCAAGTATCAGTTTTCACTTTTACCGGACATCCCAGAGGAATTTAAATACAGTATGCTGTTAAAGTCATTATGTATCAAGTGTAAAATCGAAGAGAGAACATTTTACTCAAATGACATAAGCTTTTCCTTCTATTGTCCCATTTCAAGTTAACATCTATAAATTAGTTAATATTGGTGTTATAAGATCAGTAATGTTTGAAGATGTGAATGTATTTTTAGATACATATCAAAAATGTTTACTCATAAGGGAATAATTATGACTGGGGATAAGAATGGAGAGGGATTGGCAAAAAAACATGTTCCTTAATGTTGGAAATACAGTATATTCCCATTTTTAAACTTTTTGATTATTGACATGGGTTCCATTCCAACTTATTGACTATTCCTGCAGTGGAAAGACTAATCAACATTGTTCTATGTGTCACAATCTAATGATGTGATTAAAAACTAGATTATTGCTTATACTGGTTGTCTTCGATTTATGACCATAATTTTAAGTCATAATGGTCGTAAAATGGGTTGATCACAAAACTTATTGGATTTTATAATTTTTTGGGGGGGGTGAAGCAATGCTGCAATCATTAAGCAAACCAATGGCTAGTTGCCAAAAAGTGGACATAAATACTGCTTTTCAGCAAAACCATTGTAAAATACAGTCACATGACACCGGGATGCCGCATAAATGCGGCCCAGGTGCAGAGCTCCCAAAATTCAGTCATGTGATTGCAAGGTAATCACATGATAGTTGCAATCATGCAACTATCAGAATTTTGAATCCAGATTTTAAATAGCTTCCATGTAGGCTGTTGTAATTTTGGTTGCTAAGTGACCAGTCATAGGTTGAGGACTACCTATATGTAACAATGTGCGCATATTATTTCCTTTACATTGTATTTTTTCTTTTTTTTACACTAAAACAAATAAATGCATAATCCCTATGAACAATTAAGATTAATCTATTATTTTTTAAAAGGAAAAATAAATGCAATTGCTGAATAGCAAATCCTCAAGCGCAGAGTTATTTGCCTCTCCAGAAGTAGCTACCAGGTTGTTACTGAGGAATATTGGCCAAACCGATATCCTACACAGCTTGTGGGAATCGGAGTACAGCATCTTCTGGAAGACTAGATTCCTCTAGGCTATTATTGAATATGATGACACCAAGATGCACACATTGGTCTCACTCATTTTTCCCATAGCAGCACTTTGACAGCACACACCTCACACCTGAATGTCTAAGGGGGTTGCCAGAAATGGCCTGTAAAAATTCTCAATCAAATTGGCGTATACCAAAATTGAATGAGTTTCTCCAAACTGATCAAGGAAATGTCTCAAACAATTTGCAAGAAGTTTTAGGAGAATGTTGTTGTTGTTGTTATTATTTCAGTGATGATGGTAGAACTGAGACTGAAAAAGTTCCACAAGGGAAATTCCTTACTGGCATCTTTCTTCAGGATTTAAGTAAAGCCAGAGAGGCTGCAGACCACTGGAGCAATAACTTTGCAATTAAAAGCCAGGATCTTCATGCAAATCCTTCAAGAAGCCCTCCGAATAACAAAAGGATCTCACTTATTTCATGATTTCTCCTTTGACAGAAAAATTGAAAGCATTTTTTTTTCTTGACAGAGAACTTGTCAGGGGGGGAAAAAAAATCTACGGGAAAATTTCTTCGCCAGTCGCTAGGTGAGGAAGTCACAGATCTCCAGAGAAAAAAAACCCAAAAAACAACCCAGCCCAATCATACAGTCCTGGCACGGGATGATTTTCTAGCTCTTTCTAGAACAGTGTTTCTCAACCTTGGCCGCTGGACGATGGGTGGACTTCAACTCCCAGAATTCCCCAGCCAGCAGCGCTGGCTGGAGAATTCTGGGAGTTGAAGTCCACCCATCGTCCAGCGGCCAAGGTTGAGAAACACTGTTCTAGAGCAGGAGGTGGGCAACTGTGGCCCTTTTACAACCTGTGGACTTCAACTCCCAGAATTCCTGAGACGGCTGTCTCAGGAATTCTGGGAGTTGAAGTCCACAGGTTGTAAAAGGGCCACAGTTGCCCACCTCCTGTTCTAGAGCGTTGCACCAAAGACATCGTTTCTGTCCAAGCAAACGCCGAGAGGTGCAGCGCTATAGATTCGGCCTTCCCGGGCGACATCCCTCCTCCGTGTAAAGAAATGCTGCAATATGTTCCCATGTCCTTCCCGGCTCCAGAGCCAGAAGGTCCCGCGGTTGGGAAGGAGCTGTCCGATTGTTTAGAAAAGGGGGCGCCGGCCCCCCCCCCAGGTCTCTTGAGCTCTCTCCGCTTTTCCCAGCCAAGGAACTGAAACTTCTCTTTCGTCTTCTTCGTCCTCCACTTTCCGCCCCCTCCCCGGTGCTGGTGTCGCTGTTGCTGAAGGGAAGTGAAAATGAAATCGGCTTTTCTGAGAAATGATGAAAGCGGCCGAGCCCGCCAATGAGCAGCTGCGCCCAACTCTTCCGCACCTCTTTCACTCCAGCCCCCACCTCCCTTCTGCACAAACAGGCCTCGGAGAGGGGGAGGAGAGGAGAGGGAGGGGGGGAGGAAGGGAAGGGAAGGGAGGTGGAGGAGGAATTTCCAAGATTGGACTCCTCGCTGCTTCTCGCCTTGTTTTGCTTTCGATCTGGCGTCAGGACTTAATCCCCGCCAAATACAGAGGAGGAATAACTTTTAGTTTTGCTCCCGCGATCTATTCCACCGCCGGTTTTCCTTTCCATTTTGCGTCTCTTGGCAACCGTGACAACCTTGAGGAATTACATAAATACCGGGAAACACATAATTGGTAAGGTAAATCCAGAGCAATCGTGTGTGGTTTTTTTTTTTTTTTCTTCCTTTTAACCCAGACCCAATGACCGTACACATTTCTTTCCTCTGATTTTTGCATTTAAGCCTATGCTGGACGCGTTTTAACCCAAATGCAAAGGCCGTGGCGGGTCATATGATTTTAGGCGCAGCTACTGGCAAGAGAAAGCAGGGCTTTTAATTTCACTTTTGGATTTGCAGGGAAGAGAGCCGCGGGAAGGGCAGGACGCCTTTCTCTTTCAGGCTCCGCAGTCGAGGACGGATCTGGGGTGGGGGCGGCAGGCGCGGCGGCGAAACATGTCAGCGGCAGAAAGCCCGAACCCGAGAGTCCCTCTGGCTCTCCTCTCAGCGTCGGCAGGGCGTGGAGAAGCGGGCTTTCGGAGTGCGCAAAAACTCTCGGAATGTCACCGGCGAGAACGGTTCTCGACGGGCGGGGATCGCCCCCCCACTCGCAACTTTCCTTCAAGCCCAGCGGAGACGAACTCATGGAGTTGCGGAACGGGGCGCTGCTTTGCCATCCGCTGGCCAGGCGGACGGTCTCTTTGGTAATCGGGAAACCGAGGTGAGCCCGCAGCCCTCTCCGTTGCTTTCCGTTCTCGGGCAGGGAAAGGCGTGCAGGTCGTGGGGAGACATTGGCCTTCTCGGTCCCCACCCTTGCAGGACTTTGGACCGCTTCATGGCGGGATCGGGCCCTGTCGAGAGGCGCTGCCAAGAGCGCCCCGGGCGGGGAAGAGTTTTTGCTTGATTTCCCTTGATGTTTGTGCTGCAAGGGAAAGGAGGGCACGGAAGCGGGGGGGGCATAAGTGGGCATCTTAGGGAAAGGGTGCATTTTGCTCCGCGCCAGTCTTCGCTGCGGGCAACCGAGAGGAAGAGGGCAGCAGCTCAGATCGGGGCAGCCCTGCCGAGGGGAAGGGGGAAGAGACGGTCATTTTCCCCTAACAAGTCATTGGTGCTTTGGAGAGAACCAGGAGGGGCCGCTGTGTCAGCATAATGTCCCCCCTCCCCCCAAAAAAATATCCCCGCGAAGGCGGCTGTTACACAAGCCAGCTGGGTCACTTCCTTTTCTCAGCGGCCGGGTCAAATCGTGACGTAGATACTCGTCTGGCCAATCGGAGAAGGGATCGTCGGCGATAGAACGCCCCGCTTGATACTTTTACCGCTCGCGCGCTACGTCGGGTTCCAGGAAGCAGGAATGGGAAAGGGCCCAAGGGGAGCCCGACGCCTCCCAGGCGCTGATCGGATGCTTTCCGAGTGGGAAGCGCGGAAGGCTTCCCGAGCCTGATGCCTCCTAAGTGTGTTAAATTTCAGGCTTCTTACGCTTTTGAAAAAATATAGCTGGGGATGGTAGATGTTGCCCTTCCAGGAAAGCTGAGGTTAAAGCCTAGCACATCTGGTACTAGAACACAGATCTCTATGGAGATTCTCAGTCAGGCAGGTTGTCCCAAAGGTGCTTTTTTTTTTTTTCAAGAGGCAGCTGGACTTTCTGGTTTTTCTTTGAAGATGTTTCACTTCTCACAGATCAGGTGCATGGACTGTCTCTTTCCGAATACAGGTCCTTTAGCAATGGCTCTAAAGGATTCTGATGGTGACTGTACTAAATCAAACTCTTTTATGCTGATTGAATTGATGTGGGGTATCTTTCACCATAAGGGAGGCAGTGGTGAGCTTGTCAATCAGAAGGTTGGCAGTTCAGCGGTTCAAATCCCTAGCGTCATGTAACAGAGTGAGTTCCTGTTACTTGTCCCAGCTTCTGCCAACCTAGCAGTTCGGAAAAAATGCAAGTAGAAAAATAGGGACCACATTTGGTGGAAAGGTAACAGCGCTCCGTGTGCCTCTGGCATTTAATCATGCTGGCCACATGACCACAGAGACGTCTTCGGACAACGGAGATGAGCACTGCTCCTAGAGCCAGAAATGACTAGTATGCATGTGCGGGGGAACCTTTCAATTTAACCTTCACCATGCATTAAATTTTATACCTTTGTGAGGGTTAAGCCAGTTGTGAGAGACAGTTTGGTCCAGTGGTTTAGGCGCCAGATTAAAAACCAGGAGATTGTGAGTTTTAGTCCTGGTTTAGGCATGAAAGAAGGCCTCGCATGGTTGTTGTTGTGGGGAAAACAGGAGGAGGAAGGATTATTAGGTATGTTTGCCTCCTTGACTTGGATACCTCCAAAAGCAAAGCAGGATTGGACCTGGTTTGACCATGAATAGAAGACCACTAGGAAATGCCAGGCTAGATTGGAAAAAGACTCCAGAAGAAGGAAATGGCAAATCTTATTGTTGTCCACATAATTTTACATATCTCAAAACATAACACAGTCACAACTAAGCACTTTGGTGGGTTTTAGCTGCCAGTGATATGAATGGAAGCAGCCTTGGGGATGCCAGTAGCACAATACATGCAAATACTGTTTTCATACTATATTTGAAACAAATATTTTTGAGTATTGACTGTACTGAGTCTTAAAAATAGGTCATCCTGAGTTTTGTACATTTTGATTTTTCACATGAAGCTGCACTTAGCTTTCAAGCAGCGATTAAAATCTAGTATTAATATGTTTCCTTACTAAACTATATATAAACTGATTAAAATGCATGGAACATTAAAGTTAATGTTCTGTAACTTGTTAAAAATACAATAAAATTTTCTTACGAATTGATGTGAATAAGAGCAAAGCCATATAATTTACAGTATCTTTTTCTGGTTTCCAAATTGTATTTTGCAATTTTGCATTGCCTTTTTTTTTTTTTTTGTGTAGAAAAGGTTATTCAGGAAGATTAGGCTGTTTGGAAGTTAAAGAACATTTATGGCTTCAGTGTAGAAAATGTTTTGGTGTTTTATTGACGTCAGTAAGACAATTTGTGAAATAACTGTATAATAAAATGAATACATCTGAAATTTGAAAACTGAAAAAGCAGATTTAACCTGTTTTTGTTGGAAGAAGACATATTACCTCTGGCATTATGGCAAGATATGCAGCTTCGTTTGTGTTTCTTAGATTTCATTAAACATTTTAAAGTTATGTCCTTTGTTTAAATTTCTTTACACCTTGTACATAAAAGTTTTTATGTGCTATACATGTGTATACAAAAATGAAATAAAAGTATAATTTTTAAACGGTACTAAGCTATGACTTTGTTTATACAGCTCTGGTATAAATATATGTGTATTTTAAATGTGGTGTTTGCCCGAAAATAAGACCTACCCCGAAAATAAAGCCTAGCTTGATTTTTAAGTGTGTCTAATATAAGCTCTACCCCCCCTCCAAAATAAGCCCTAGTGAAGGGGGTGGGCATGGCCAGCACAGGAGGCAGCAAGCACACATGGGCCAATGGTGTCCGTTGATTCCCTGTCCAAGCAGCAGGCGGGGGTGAGGCACACAATCTGGAGATACTGCGCTGGCTGTGGGAAAACAGAGTTATGCTGGAGCGGCGGCTGGCCACGGAAGGCTCGTCTTCGTGCGGCGGCACCGGCAGCAGACGGAGGAAGAGGTGCAGGGGGGAAAGGAAGCAGTCTGGACAGGACGCACGGGTCACAGGAAAGCTGAGGGTTGGTGGGCCGGAGCGGGCAGGCAGCCACAGGAGGCTTGTCTTCACGTCTCTTGGCTTGCCTGTGGCCCATGCAGCACATCCGGATCAACTGTCTTCCGTCATGCGCCTCTGCCTCCATCTACTGCCGGTGCTGTTGTGTGAAGATGAGCCTCCCGTGGCCTTTTCTGGCTTTTTCTGTTGCTCATCCGGATTTCCTGCCTCCCTCCTGCACATTTGCCTCTGTGTGCTGCTTGGACAGGGAATCAACTCGCCTGCGCTGTGTGAGCTGCACAGCTCCATAGTGCGCCGACCAAGGGACCGGCTGGCTGGAGCTCCTGCCAGACACCATCAGTCCCTATGTGCTTGCTGCCTCTTGTGCACATGCCGGGGTGAGGTGGGGTGGGGCACCCAGCCGGGGTGATCACCCTCAAATCGTGTTTCCCCGAAAATAAGCTCTAGTGCTTATTTTGGAGCCCCAAAAATATAAGACTGGGTCTTCTATTTTCAGGGAAACACAGGTATAGAATGAATATATATTAGAATACTCTTAGGAAAATCTATAGCAAAATAATTACTTCAGAAATATCTTCAGTAATGTCATGATGAATCAAAATAGTATCTAGTCCCTTGATATAAATCTTTTATTTAGAGGATGTTCTATATAAAAGAATAATAATTTCCAAGCTAAGCAATTTATCTTATTGATAAAAGTACAAATAATTAGCTGAACAAATGAGCTATAAGGTCTGTAACTAAAAAAAATCTTGAAAACATCTTATACTTTTCTTTCTTAATTAATACCATTACCTGGTTTGCTAAAATCAGATCTGCCTTCCTTTCACCTGTTGTGTATTGCTACCCACTGGAGGAAGTATTTCTCTTGTATTTGATATTTGTTGGGGTTATAAATAGAAGGAAAGGTAGCAAAGGAATGGTTTTCAGTCCACCTTAAAAAATCTGTGGGAAACTCATTTTATGGGGAAATTATGTCTCCTACTTTACGAATGTTTCTGATTTACTTCAGGTCAAACATCAATTGGAAATAGTTTTATTAATTTTTTTTGCCTCTCTCACTTTAAGAATATTAACGGTTTACTTTGAGTCATATTTAGTTTTCCATCAGTGTGGACATGAAGTTCTGGAATTTACAGTTCTACTTGCCCTGTTTGATGTTGTAGCTATCCGATGGTATATCAGGCTTTGGAGAGCAAAGCAAGTAGAGACCTTCAGAAGCCTAGCAGAAATGTGTGGACAATCTGTTGCTTCTTCTCAAGCTTTTAACTAAATGGTTTGCAGCAGCAGTCTTTATACTGCATTAGGAGAGAAAAGAGAAGCCATATTGAGTTTTTCTTGTATTTTGAAGACCAAGCATGGAAACAGTGACAAGATTCCATGCCTTATGGATGGAGCAAGACTCTGGCATCCACAAACTTCGTGTTGATTGACAAACTCAGCTAAAATGTGTGAGACTCTTTACATGCTTTAGCAATTGATTAATGAATGTTTATTTTAATGTGATATTTCTCTGTCCATCTGTATAAAATAAACAATCTTTCTGGAAATGGATCTTGAAGTCTTTGCAGTGTAAGTAAATTCATCTCTATGGAGTGGCTAGAGTGAAAATTCTATACCTACTAAATAAAGTGAAAATATACCTAATAAATGTGGGTGCAGTTATTAAAGATGCTATTTTTGAAAAACTGGGAACTTTGAGGTTATATAAAGTTTGGCATATTGAAAACAATGGCTATTGTTTAAACAAAGAAAACATGCATTTCTACAGTATGTGTGGGTGAGTCTTCTGAATCAAAGAAGGAAATGGAGTAGAATAAAAGCATATTCACTGTTCAGCATGTGAAGAGATTTAGGCAACTTGATCCTACTTATAGAGCATCAGGTTTTGCAGAACAGAGTGGAAATTACTTGTAAATATAGAAACATAAATTTGCATTCACAGAATTTTCAATGCCAATGATATTGAAGTACAATCCATTTGGAATAATTTTTATTAATGAGGCATATTTTATATTG